GTTTCCAACTCTGAAGAAGGCGATAACGCCGAAACGTAAGTTGATAAGAATTTATTTACCATCTTGACAGCAGGTTTTATTAAAATCTTATAAAATAAATGTACCAGGAGCCTATATATAGTCGGAATTTTCAGATAAGTAGCGACTTTCTGCAAATGGTGGATGTACACAAAGAGTTCAGCATGGATACTTCCAAAGCAGTACGTAGGTTTTTCTGAACATCGGAAGTATCACTTAAAAAAGCAGGAGATCGTATGCTCTTCGTAAAAACTTGGCACGTAATGGATTTCAAGCGATTATGTAAAGCTCGAGCCTTGAGCTCGAGCCAATAATTTTCAAACTATAGAGAAGTTATTTCTCTGGAGAATTGGCATATAATTTACTAAGAGCAGGAATCAAACCATGCTTGATATTTTCCTTTTTAAAAAGCCTCCTTCACTCGAGTTTGGCGAATTGATCTATGCTAGTCTATATAAATCGCTAAGTGTGTCTGTTGGTGTGTCGGTGTGTGAGTGTCGGTGTGTGTGTTTGATCGGAAATTCATAACTCTGTTCCCTAGGACCTAGAAAGGACCGAGAAAGGTCAAAATCGGTAGCAGTACAGGGGACAGCATGGAAACACTTATGGCAGATGGTAGGACCGGACTCCGCCCACAGGGGGCGGGGCTTAAGCGGTAGAAATTTCAGGTCGCACATTCGTAACTCCTGTTCCAATGGACCCAAAGCGTCCAAAATTGGTAGGAGTACAGGGGGCAGCATGGAAACACTTATGGCAGGTACAAGATTGAACTCCGCCTACAGGGGCGGGGCGTGCGCGATAGAGATTTCAGATTGCAAATCTGTAGCTCCTGTCTCCGTGGTCCTATTGCGTTGAAATTTGGTAGGAGTGCAGGATGCAGGATAGGAACACTGATGGTAGGTAAATAACACTTCGGAATCACCTTTTCCTCTGAGAGCTCTACACCCTCAGTATTAGCACCGGATTGGGTGCGATTTTTTCTGTATTATAATTAATTATATATTAATTAGAAGTCTCGTTCCATTGCTCTTCATCTCAAAATTGTGTCACATTGATGGCTTAACTGGTCGACAACTAATGACCTGAATGGTATCCAGAAATGGATAATATTGCCTATCGAAATGTCGTTATCAGTGGAACATTTTCCCACGGATTTTTCATTGATTGGGAATCCGGAATTGGGATAAGCGGTGATAATAATTAAAAGGAGGTGATAAAGAGCCTTGAAAGGCAAGAGTCACAGGGACCGTTACTTACTTCCTGTTAACGGCAGAGCTTTGGCACTTCGGTAAGGGGTGTCATTAGAAAGGGACAGTAGATATTCACTGATAGAGACTAATAACAACTGTTAAAGACTGATAGAAACTGATAGGAGGCGAGAGCCAACAAGTCTACAACTTTTTTCATATTAACAGCTGAGCATTCCAGTAGATAGAGCCGGATGTGAAGGGAACAGTGGAACCTTTTCAATGACGGCAATATGGGATGTGACGTGGTCGTAGGTACTCTGTGACAGGATCTCAGCTGATAAGAACTGATAAGGGGCCTTGGAGAGCAAAAGGGTATTCATGATCAAACACTGACTCTTTAAAATGTTTCATTCAACGGGTAAATGCATTAATAGCGACCGATCAAAGACATTTCTCCATAACCTCCAGAAATGAGTATATTGTTCACCTTTTGCTAATAAACTACGATCGTTACGCAATAAGCTTTGTGACACAATGAATTACCGTGATTCCTTTTTGTTTTGTGACATATTATTTGTGACTAAACTCATCTGACCGCTAATGATTTGGGATTCCCAATCAATGAAAAATCCGTGGGAAAATGTTCCACTGATAACGGCATTTTGATAGGCAATATTAACCATTTCTGGATACCATTCAGGTCATTGGTTGTCATCCAAACAATTAGGCCATCAATGTGACACAATTCTGAGATGAAGAGCAATGAATCGAGACTTCTAATTAATATATAATTAATTATGATACAGAAAAAATCGCACCCAACCCGGTGCTAATACTGAGGGTGTAGAGCTCTCAGAGGAAAAGGTGATTCCGAAGTGTTATTCACGCACATTAAATTTCTTAGAGGTAGGAGGAGCGCCCAACAAAGCCGGGTGACATTATAAGAGGGAGGGAAGCTCGGCGTTTTTTTAGAAAACTGGTATTGAAATGATCAGAACTATCTGAGGACCGCCATGGTCTAGTTTTCATCTGATGTCGGGAAACGTTAGCTACTCCACATTTCACTGACTACTTTCTGTAGAAACGATTGCCTTCTGATTAAGTAGGCGGCTACGCACGCTATCGCGTGCACTAGGGGTTCTGGCCATGAGAGACGGAGCCACGTGAGCTGATTCTCATTATAGAAATTTATCGGATTTATAGGTTTCTGCTCAAACCCCGCCCCTGTTGGCGGAGTCTGGTCCTGCCACCCACCATAAATGTTCCCACCCTGTCTCCTGTACTTCTACCGAGTTCGAAGATTCTTGGTAAACAGAGACAGGATCTATGAATTTCTGCTCAAACCCCGCCCCTGTGGGCGGAGTCTGGCCCTGCAATCTTTCATCAGTGTTCCCATCCTGCCGCCCGTACTTCTACCAAGTTTGAACTTTTTAGGTCTACGACTCGGTCCAGGATCTATGAGTTCCCGCTCAACCCAGCTCCTGCCAACCACCATAAGTTTTATCACCATGCCGCCTGTACTCCTACCAAAGTCGAACTCTTTAGGTCCATGGGACCCAAAGTTATGAATTTTCGCATATAAGTGTAAGAAGGGATGTGAGCTTCGAGGCACGATCCACCTCAAAGCGTGCCTTGTGGGCGGGCTCCCGCTGACGTTACTTATGCTGGAGACGCCTCCGACAATGCTTCTCCCACATCAACTTTTTCCTGCTCCGTTGGCGTTCTCCAAACCAAGTTATGTTTTCATAAAGCATTGCATTTTTGGAGAACGGCGGGGCTCCTCCAAGCTGATGTGTGCTTTATACTTCTCGGGACATGGCCCACCCATCTCACGCTTGACCCGGTCTTTCCAGGCAGATCTAAAGGAGTTAAGGAATTTTGTGACAGACATACAGACAAACAGACAGACAGACAGACAGACAGACAGACAGAAAGACGAAGCGCCTTATAGAAAGTAGGATAATTATAGCAGGCGTCGTTGCTAATGACGTACCCTCAGGAACTTTGATAAACTCAAACCTGAGCTTTCCATAATCTTCAGGACACCATTTTGTAGAACTCGACGATCGCAAATGAACCATATAGCACTCTATATAAAAATGTGCAAACCAATCTAGTTACAGAGAAAATAACGGAAAATTGCGAATCAGCGTTTTTTGTGACCTTTTGAACATTCAGGGTAGGCAATGTACGTCGTACTTTCTTTGCTGAATTGATCTACGTTGAACTACAAGGTGGCTCGAACTACAGGCAAACTCTGATCATAAGGTCCCAGGGTAGCGGTTTCGCGACGATTACTATAATCATCCTCTTTCGAATTTTTCGCAATTCCCACGACACATCAGGATCTTTGTTATTAACGTATGATGCGATATTTTCACTTTCATTTTTAATTTGTTCGGGATCGAGATATATCCCCGAATGCTAGTAGATATGAAGCAACATCGTTACATCGATACCGGTTGATAAATGCTAGCTTCTCTATATCTCAAGAAAGCCTTGACTTACTGCAGTTATCGTTCCACTGTAGCTTTGTTTCTACTTTGGCTTCGATTTCTTTTCTGACATTAATCGAATGACAGATGCTTGGATTGTTACTAAACCAGAAGTGCGGCTTGGGTCCCATCACCTTCATGTCCAGTACAGCGGCAATGTTTTTCAGCTTGTGGTTATTAAGTATCCTCACCACACGAGCTAAACAGATCACAATAAGTCCCGCTATTTCTGGCGTATTGGCATGAGGGAACGAAATCCTCACGTTGCCATCCGTCGACAGTGAGATTCCTGAGTATGTTCAAATTCTCATCCGATATGTCGTCTATGGTAATAGTCCCGTAAACCTTGCTTATCCGCTTCCATGCTTCCCTCATGTCTTCATCACTCGGGTATTTTAAATCACCAACTAATGCCGTGCAGTCCTTGCGCTTCAGAGCCATTTTTATCGTGCAGTCTGAAAAATCAAAAGCCAGACTTTCTCGGAGATTCTGCCTGCCATGGTGCATGGCGTTCTAGAGCTGGAAGAAAATGAGAAAATTTGAGTCACGGTTTCTGGTCACGGATCCTCGTCTCGTGGATCCGTTACCAGAAAAAAAGCACAGAAAACTTTCTCAAAGGTTGAGTCTGAGATTGACTCGTAGCCCTGGTAATGTTTCAGACCAAATTCATCGCAGCAACTACATAAGTCTTCGAAAGCCTAACCGTGCGGACTTCCCACGTCTACATCGAATGGTGCATTGGTGACTTGCTCTCGACGAAAGTTCTCATTAGCTCTGATGAAAACTTCCTATAAAAGCGCGTTTAGATAATCATCTTCGTCCGATTTTTGATCCCTTGATGCTGAGATTAGGGATGTAGATTTAGCGGTTTATGGTGAATGGAGGTGCAGCAAGCGAGTCACTGATTATTCAGCCCTCACATTTCTCCCCTTAAACATGATGTGAAGAAATTGGCCGATTCGTTACATCAGCCACGACCTTTCAAATCATCCACCACGTTACCTTTGTGACTGTAGCTACTACTATGTTTCATTGCATCGTATCGTTTATGGTTAGCGAGCCGAGCGAAATGGCAGATTGACCACCGACAAGTGATAGTTATCTATCGTAGCAAGCGATCCACGCAAGTTTCAAAATATACCAACATTGTTCACGTGTATTTGTCAATAATTAAACATGGTTTCAGACTTACAAGGATCTCGGGACTCTTCCACTTTTTCGCTGGTCTCCGACTTCCTATCTCCAACCAATATCTCACTTCGACTACTACGTTCAATATCCGGCGGCAACCACGATCAACAACCAAGACACAGGCAGCCGATTAAGTCGTCAGTGCTCAGTCAGGGTGATTAATATCAAGCTGAAGCCGTGCACTGTAGCACTTCAGAGATCCACTTCCCGCGCGGTGACAAGTACACGAAACTTGAACAACTTTAACACCCGTACTGAACACTAGACATCTCCACCCATTCACTACAGTGACTTTGTGAGAGGGAGCAATGATCTTCGTCACGACAACGTCAATTGAACATCGGTGAACGTAACTCATTTCATACATCTACTTATCATAACTCGAACCTTGACAAAGTTGTTGCTGTATTATTGAACAGTGCCTTTTGATGACATTACAATCGATAGAATAGAACTTCTGTCAATGCCTCGCATATCAAAATTCTCGAACTGATTCTCAAGATCAAGAGCGAGGCACCCATTCAAAAAACTATTGAATCATTTCCAATGGCTCAATCACAATATGGCTTTGAAAATTGACCTCCTTTTTGATCTCCATATCTTTTCGAAGAGATATTCGCCTCAGATTTTTATTTCCATAAACCATCAAGCTGTACTTATACTCTAAATGCATAGATGAAAATTATTATCTCGGAGGAATTGAGCGTCAACAGTTCCATACCGCAAAATTTGAAATTTGCTCTTAAGCTCATAAAGGAACTCAGGGGTATATTCTCAAGCTTGTCGAGTTCGGCCATGATAATACAACCAGTGAAATTGAAAATTTGCTGAAAAATTGGGCAGCATGCGAGTTCTGGTAGGTTTCAAATAATGGATTTTCAGAAACCCAGAATTACTTAAGCTTTGTTTCTGTTCATAATAATTTGAGACAGCCCTTAAAGAGACAAGCAGTCTGACCCTAGACACCCTAGTAGGTTTGCTCAGCACAATAAATTTGCTTGGAATGTCTTTATAGCACCTACATCCTGAGCCCACATTTGACGACAAAGTGGCACTAAATGGTTATGGGATACAGAGGAGCTCTGATGCAGAGGAGATCCGGCTTTTTTTTTATCAAAATTGGAATCTTCCGATTCCAACATTAACTCATTCACGGTATCACACTTGACCCAGGAGAGAAGTTTTTGTGATGACCTAAAACCAAAACAAGATGAGCCGATTTTGTTCAGCGCAACCGTCTGATTTAGAATCAAGAAGAGTCAAAGTATGGATAATAAACCGCGTGGGCTATACGCCACGCAATTTCTCGGAAATCCTCGTGCATGTAGAAGTTACTACAATGATTGGCTCACAGAACTTTACTCCGTAGTAAAATAAAATAGCTCATTTTATCGCTACTAATATTCGGATGTGCTCACCATCTTTATGAGCAAAGACTCTTAGAGGAGGACCTGTGACTCTTCATATCTCAAAGAGAAGCAGTCTGCTGCAAGAGCAGGTGCATGCTATCAAGGAAATTTTTCTCTAAGGATATATCATTAGCATAGGCTCCAAGATTATTGGCGGTTACTGGGAAGTTTTGTAGCGAATAATATCAAAGCAAAGGGGAACCGTGATCCCTCCTTAAGTCACAAACCTTGCTGGATAGCAGTCATAATTTAACAGCATTAAACGAACTCGAAACGAATGAACTTTCACCTCTTCGTAATAAAGAGGCTTCAATCGGTCCTTGTCACTGCACTCACCACTGAATTTTTGTCACCCTACTTTACCATCCCGCCTTATCGAATGAAACATACTAAAGAACCAAAACTACATACATTTACACCTTGATTTCTGATTTCTCCGTTGGGTTCTATAATATTTCGTAGGTGGGTCTTGCTTCCTGGGCTTTTATCAACTGTTATCAGTTCGACCCAGTCCTACCAAAGGACCAGATTTTCGTATAAAAGACCGTGACGGAAAATGTGACTCCTGCCTTTTAATTCTTCTTATCAGTCTCTACCAGTTGTTTTCACTTCCCACTATATACTTTTAGTGTTCGCAGCCTACTGCCTGTTCTCATTTTGATTTGAACGTTGTAGGTAAAATGGCACAGTAGGTAAGGTTGCAGGGTTCCAAAACTAAGATCTTGAATAGCTGTGTAAAATCAGTGGAGGGACATCCGAGTTTCGCCAGCACTGGGTTCCTTAGACAGTGGCACTTAACGAGCGCCAGAAAAAAAAACTTCAACAAGCTTTCGAAACCGTGTCCTCTTTGACCAGTTTGTGGTTGTGGTAATTCCCAGAGTTCTCTCAAGTAATTCCCAGGGTTTCGGTGCCCACTGTTCATTGTCATTTCAAAGCTATCGCGTCGCTTCTACATAACTGGAACCAGAGTATGGTTATTCATGAAGGAAAATAGCACGGTGGTAGTGTTGATCCGTGTAATATTGGCACTGTATCGCAGACGAAGAGGAGGATGAGCGTTGGCAGCTTTGCGTTCTTATGCGGTGAAAGCAAGGGGATAGGAGGATTCCAATTTCCAGGGGATTCCAATTAGGATAGGAGGATTGGAGGACTGGGGTGGGCGAGATGGTTTCCTCGGACGGAATGCTGAAAACTCGCCACCCCCGGTGTTCAAAGCCCTGCTGAAGGTTTGTATGTTCCTGGTATCAAACAAAATACTGAATTCTTGTTATGGGGTGATGGCCGCTCCTTGAAGTGGTACCACCGGGAACTGCTCACTCTGTGGGCTGAGCTGATCGCAGGCGACAGTATTCCGTGACAGGCCGGCCTAGGAACACCATCGTCACATCAAAAATGTTAATGGCACTACATAAGTTTCTGCGTCCACGGGATCCGACGCGCACTCGCAAGGGCCAGTGAGTGTAAGGAGTATGCGAGGGTCTCCGGTGCACGGGCGGCATCGGGGGGCAAATAAGCTAGTCCAAAAGTCCCGCAACGTACGTAAGACTCGCGTTGCGACACTAAACGTTGGTGCGCTAAAGGAACGGTCGTACGAGTTAGCGGAAGCTCTAGAGCGTCGACGAATTGATTTCTGTGCCAACGAGATGGTCCTGCTGCAAGTCCAGGGACAAAGGCAACGAAATTAAAGCCGTCTTCTGTGGTGGCCACAAAATCACCAACGCTGTTGGGGTAATAGTCTCTTCTGTACTCGATATTTAGCATGAAACACTTCGATGACTTCCTAAAGAAGATCGTGGAAGACATCGAACGCTAAAATACCATCGGTGAAAATGTAGTTGGGGGGGGGGGCACCTATCACAATGTCGGTATATCAAGAAATGAACTCAATGAAACGCGTTATGTCGTGTTATATCACGGACATGCTTGTTTTTAAACAAGGGCTCTCGTAGGGAAGGAGCACCACGGTGGGCAAGTTTTCTTTCTTTTCCTCCTTTTTTTTGCAGGAGGTAGTCATCCTAGCCACCCAGGTGCTCCTACCCTACCTAGGCTTATTTGGCAAACTAAATTTCCTTAGCGGAAACCGCATAAAAGAGCTGAGCTGGTCGATTCCCATCATGCTCTACGCATCCGATACAGCGCTGATACAACAAGGGCTAACACGTTAGACAGAGTTCATTTTTTGATATGCTGGCCTTCGGATGGGTGCCCCCCCAACCACATTTTCACCATACCATCTCTTCCCAGCGTCGTTCTGCAGGCTGGATGCTTCGAGCAAACCAAGGACAAGTTCTGGAACCTGCTCGATGAAAAGCAGCTGAAGGACTATTACAAGAAGCCGTATTTGTCGCAGGTGACCTCAACAGTTACGTGGGCGCTACGAAAGACGGTTACAGCTGCCACGATGGTTTTGGATATGGGTCACGTAACACTGATAGCGAGCGAATTCTCGAATATGCAGACTCGCATAAACTCGCCATTGTCAAGTTGAGATATCGAAAACGTGATTAGCATCTCATCTTCTATAGCGGTGAGAACAGAACGCAAATTGATTTTGTCCTCGTCAGGCATCGCAATCAGGGGCTCGTAACAGACGCGAAAACAGTTTCCCATGGAACGGTCGCAACACAACACCGACCACCGAGCTGTACGCTAAAGATCGCTCCGCCGAAACCGAAATTAGCAGAAAGGTGTAAGCCAGCGGGAGTGAAGTGGTGGCGACTAAAGAAAAAGAAGCGGCCGTCGTTCCCAGCATTCTATTAACAGCGGTAACGACTGTCGAAGAAACTTGGAAGGGAGCTGAGGAAGCGACAACCCGGGTGGCGCGGTCGAAGCTCGGCATGACCAAGCCTGGACGGCGAAAGCTCGAGCATTATGGTGAGCGGTATGTTCACCGCCTTGCAAAGACCCGTAATCGCCAGACTGAGAATATAGAAAAGTTCTTAGGCATTAATGACGAAAACGGTCACCTCTTGACGGACCGCAGGCAGTCGCTGAAACGATGGCGAGAGTGCTTCACAAACATCTCAACAGCCGGATTCACTCGTCACGCCATCACCTGCGCTCCGCTAGTACGCGGTCCCGTTCAGAAGATAATCGTGAATGAGGCCATCACGGCTTTGAAAAAGATGAAATCAGGCAAAGCAACCGGTCCTGACGACTTAGCGGTGGACTTGTTGAAATGGAAAGGCTGGAATCCTGCAGGATGGTTGACGGAATTTTCAACCACGTCGTTGCAGAGAAGAAGGTGCCTGTGAGCTGGCAACAGAGCACGATGATTCCTATCTGGGAGAAGGGCAGGTGGGGGGGGGGGACTGTACTTGCTGCCGTCCAATTCGCTTGCTCTCGCAGAGCATGAAAATCTTCGAGCGAATTGTAGACAGAGGTATCCGTACCATCGTCGAGCTGTCCACCAACCAGTGCGGTTTTGTGGTACATCTTTCCTTTCTAAATTTGGAGATGGCTTTCGATCGCGTTGCGCGTGGCGTTATATGGTATGCCTCACGATAGCCTGGCATTTTCGAAGAACTTATCGAGTGAGTACGCATCCTTTCCCCTCGTCCAAAGAGCCGTGTGCAAATGGCAGCGGGAATATCGGAGGATTCTTCCATCTCAATTGGCGCACTTCAAGGCTTTGCGTTATCCCCACTACAATTTGTTGTCGCTATGGATACTATTACAAGAGATCTGTAGAAGCCGACTCCATGGACGCTTCTCTACGTGGTGCTTGGTGCCCATTGAACAACAGGTACAAACCTGGTCCGACCTTCTGGCTATGTTCGCACTTAGGTTAAATGTCAGAAAAACCGAGCACTCGACCACTGATCCAGGCGAGCCAGGATCAAGGTCAATGGCACATGGCTCACATGGACGACAACATTCAAGTATCTTGAATCGGCAACTGCGTCTGACGGCAGCCTGGTTTTTGAAAGGAATTCTCGCGTGAATGCAGCGGTGTTGGAGTGGCGCTCGATGATAGGCGCGCTCTGCAATAAGATCATGCCCGAGCGTCTCAAATCCAAGATCTACAATAGAACCACCATCCAGCCGGTCGCAGCCTGCGATCAAAGAAGTTGAAGCCGGGCTCAGTGTGGAGACCAAGATGCTGCGCTGGACAACCGGGGTAGCACGACTATACCGCAAAAGTAATGACGTCATCAGGGAGCGATTCGGTGTTGCGCCCATTGTCGATAAAATGTGCGAAGCCCGTGCCAGATGGTATGGTCATTACCTCGCGCGAATGATGACAGTGCCCCTCGGATCGATCTCAATATGGATCTTCATGTGTCCGGGGAGAGGCCCAGAGGACGCCCAAGGCAGCGATGGCTCGATACTTTGCACGAAAACCTGAAAACGGTTATCATCCACCCCGACCAAGCATTGATTGGGAGAAGTGGCGCCAACATATCAGAAAAGCGGACTCCGCCTGCAAGTGGGACAGACGCTTGAGAGTAAAAAGGAGATTATGTTCTTGCTATGCTAACACTGTTTGTGCCCNCCCCCCCCCCCCCCCCCCCACCTCCTCCCCAACTACATTTTTACATAACTACATTTGGTTACCCTAAGTCTACTTTAGAATAAGGTCAATATCAGAGCGTGTAAAACAGCTTAAGTAATAGTTCCTACATAAAACATCGGCACTCTGTAATTGTCGCCAACCATTCTTCCGTATATAAAAAAACAGTCATCCCTGAAGGCCGAGAAGTAGTGATTCACTCCTTTGAAAAGGCATTCTGGAACAAACTCTCAATCTCACGGTGAGACAGATGATCTCAGAAAAGGAGAGATAAACTAACCTCTGGTTCTTTCATTGATAGGATACGATTCATTAACTGGGTACACTATCTGGGTATCGTCTTAAATTTAACACTCAATTACGAGAATCGCTGTTACTAGTTGTTATCTCACCTGCTGTTGGAGCCATAAGTTCAGCAGCTATCAAGGCTGAAGCGAGGGCACCCTTGAGTAGCTGGAACCACATACTTCCCGATTCATTCACGTACGTGAGGCAACGCACTCGAGACAAGCAGCCGCAGCAACACTTCGCCACAGGACAACGATGAAAACTGAATAACACCTCCTTGCTTTGCTCATCGAGTAATGATAATGATCATAGCGAACGAATGGCTTGTGTATAGGGGTGGGAGCAGCAAACAGAAAAAGTCCCAGGAGAGGCACCTTAGGAAAAGAGCGGATGGACAAGTATAAAAAGTTTCATTCCTGCTTTCCTCCGTTCACGAATTCTATGGTCATTTAAACCCAGGATGCTCTGTACTGCTAAGTGCTCATTCACTGTAGGGTCTACGACTAATTCACAGCGACTTGGCTAAAAAAGAGCTACTTGCCAATTTACAGATTCTGTGGTTACGGACATTCGGAAGATTGTTCATTTATAATAAAAAAAAGGCATCATACGTTTCCTAAAGCATACTCCTGCATTGATCACTGAAAATATATATCGAAATCCTTAGCAAGTGCCCATGAGATTATATTCTGATTATATTCATTTCTGTATTGTTTTTAAAAGCATGATAGGAAGAATGATCCCTGTAGTCCTTTTGAAACTTTTATTACGATTGTGACAATCGAGGGTGGACACCTCCGTTCGCCTTAACTCCACTGTCATCAAACGTTATTTTCCTTTTCTCTCCCTTTCCTCGTGATAATGATTTCCACAGTAAGAATCGCTGCTCTCGACGTTAGCCGTTCGTTACCTGTGTTTGAACTGAAACGCTGCTTAGACATGTTCACCCTTTCGGTAGTGCTTCAGTTTGAGGTGACGAGTTTGAAAGCGTAAGGATTTAAAGGAAGAGATCGCGAAAATTTCGGGTTATACAGATAATGACGAAAAGTGAAAGAGAAGGTGGATAATAGTAGATAGAGGCGAAGAAAGCACAGGAATCGGTGTTCCATGAAGGGCAAAAGGTTTCAAAAAAGGCGCCAGAAACGGAGCTGGACGAGAACCAGATCAAAAAATAACGTAGAAGGGGTGCTTGGAGAAGCTATACAAGGTGTGTCAATCCGTACAACTGACCACAGTAAGCAAAAATGCCTTCTGATATTAATTCAAATTCAGAACAGAAATGGCTCACCTTTCTTATCCTCGTATGGAAGAAAACTAGAAAAATGTCCGCAGCAGCAAAAAGAATTACAGAACAACAGTAATACATTCCTTCATTACTCAGCGATCAGCTGATTGCGTGCTGAACGTGTGGATCTTGTCGCGAAGCGCAACCTGTATCGCCCCGATACTCGTCTGACATATCATCGGTCGATGGGCGTGGACGTCGAAGAATCAGGTTACCGGCTCACTTTACGGCTCACATTATGCCCTATCTATTGAGTTTTCGTCCCTACAGCGTTGTTTGTGTTACCTTTCGAGGCATTGAGTTAACTCAGGAGGAAATCGTAGGGACCATTTTCATCATGAACTGTGCCTTTTAGTACCCAACTTCGACTCTCGATAAACTTTGGCTCGTCTTTGAATAGTTCTCGTAAAAGTTCTGATTAAACCCGCTACCAAGATGACAAACAAACTTTATTGACACACGTTTCGGCCTTTTCGCCTTCGTCAGAGTCTGGAATCAATGATAATTGCATTCCCTTGTCACAGAACAATTAGAACTTAGTCAATCAGTTCCCTAAGAAAGGACTTTAGTAGGCATGATGATCACAGAATACTTTTCTCCCACCTTAAAAGGCCACCGGTCTTGTTCTTGAACACGGTAAGCTGACTCACAGAACTTAGAGGTGCCCTAATATTATACAACCAGTCGGACCGCCCGGCTAACAACGGGCTTTCCTTCTTCTTGTGCAAAACTCGGAATGTTCGATTAAAGTTTTGCGCCCACCAATTCCGTACAATCACTTCAACGTGAATGATCACAACACTTTCTTTAGAAATGGATTCATGTGGCACTACTTCTTGAACTTCTTCAGGGTGGAAAACAATTCTGGGAAGCGCTGTCTCATCGTTAGCCAGTCAGTTCACTACTCTTTTGTTGGAACAATTAATTCTCCTGTTCACGAAACTTGACACAGGATTACCAGAGCATTGCAAATGGTATTCAGTGTAGGTCGTTGCTTTTGATTGGAACTCTCGATCATGTGCTCTTGTTCTTGAAAGTAAATGCCCATTAAAGACTCGACTGTTAGGCAATCAAAGCCATGGGCGTTGCTCACAAATGCTTCGAGTAATGATAATACTCAACTGCTCACCGTAGTACCGGTGATGGGTCCCTATCGCTGCACTTACATTCCACTTTTGTCACCCTACTCTAGCATCCCGTCTTATCAAATGAAACTAATGAACGGACTAAGCTACATCATTAGTACCGAAGAGTTAGGATTTTGATCGGTAGGAGGCTCTTGCTTTCTTGGACTCCTTATCTTCTCTTATCAGTTATCGTCGGTTACTGTCACCGAATACCTAGGATATCCTACATCACCTGTTGAAACCTATAGAATTCGAACACGTCAGGTCCACGGAAATAGAAGTTGCGAATTTTCGCTCAAACATTTGCTCTGCCCATACTCTGCCCCCAGTAAACGGAGTCTAAAACTGCTACCCCCTGTGAGTGTTCCCATCCTACCTCCTGTACTCCTACCAATTTTCAACGCTTTGGGTCCACTGGAACAGGAGAAACGAACTTGCAACCTAAAATTTCTTTCGCTCCCGCCTCACCCATTCTAGACGGAGTCTGACCCTGTTGCATGCCATGAGTTTTCACATCCTACCCCCGTACTCCTACCAAATTTGAACTCTCTGGGTCCATGAGAACAGGGGTTATTCCGGTCAAACACACACACACACCGACACACCAACAGACACACTTACAATTAGCGAATTTTCCTACTATATATAATTCGCTAAGTGTGTCTGTTGGTCTGTCTGTGTGTTTGCTTGTGTGTTTGTTTGTTTGTGTGTGTGTGTGGTGTGTGTGTGTCTGATCGAAAATTCATAACTCCGGTCCCCGTAGAGCGTTCAAACTTGGTAGGAGTACGGGGGGCAGGATGAGAGCACTTATGGTGGGTGGCAGGACCGGGCTCCATACGCAGGAGACGGGGCGTGGGCGATAGAAATTTAGGGCCGCAAATTCACAACTCCTGTTGTCCTGGACCCAGAGCGTTGAAATTTGGTAGGGTTACACTTTTCGAACTAACAGTGGAACCTTAGCAATCCATGATATATATAAACCGCTAACTTTGTGTGTCTGTTTGTATGCCCGTTTGTGCGTCCGCCATAGGCACGATAAGGATTCACGTGAAATAACACGTGAGCTTGGTGGAGAAGTAATATCCTACTTATATAATTGGCTAAGTGTGTCTGTTGGTGGGTTTGTGCGTGTGTCAGTATGTGTGTGTGTTTGTCTGACCTAAAACTCATAACTCCTGGCCCACTGAACCTAGAACATTCAAATATGGAAGAGAGATAGGCGGCACGATGGGAACAGCGATGGTAAGTAATAGGAAGTTACAGCAATCAACAAACAGATAAAGAGCCTTAAAAGACAAAAGCCACAGGGTCCGTAACTCCGTTTGTATTAGCGGTGAAGCCGTGGCACTTTTGCAAGTGGTGTAGGGTGCGGAAGGTCCGTTAGTGATTGGTGACAGAGAATGATAGCAAGTGATAGGGAATGACAAGAAGCCATAGAAGGCGAGGGCCTGTAGGTCTGTGACGCGCTTCCCGTTAATAGTGGAGTCTTGGTATTTCAGTAGGTGACGCAAGATGTGACAGGATTGTAGGTACTCGGTGACGGGATCGAGAACGGTTGGTGCCAGGCCAGGAGCTGATAAAACTGATAAGGGCTAATGAGAATCCTGGAAAGCGTAGAGCCACTATAATAATGGCATTAATAGTGGTGCCATGACAGTTTGGCGTGTGACGTGGAGTATGGCGAGATCGTAGACGACCGATGATAGGAACTGATAACAGCTGATAGCGACTGATAAGAGCACTTACCAATTGAATTTAACTCCTATGGTATTAACGATGTATTTATGATTACGACTATTATATAGATTACGACCGCTACCCAGCAAGGTTTGTAACTCAGTGGAAAAGGTTACTTGATGTTTTGATATCATTCACGACAAAGCTCATCCGACCGCCAATAACTTGGGATTCTCAACTAATGATGTACCCGTGGAGGGAAGAAGGTCCAGTGATAACGAAATCTTATATGGTGTTATTATTACTTGAGAACATTAGTGAGTACTGCTCAATTCATTGGTTGCCTACCAGATAAACCTTTAATGATTCATAATTTTCAAGATCAAGAGCAACCGATTGACACTTTTAATCGTAGGCGTATGCGTGGGCATGTGGTGCACGCATTGGCGTGCGTAGCCAAACTGGTTTAATAAGTAAGGTAGGATATGACGGGATCGTAGGTACTCGGTGACAGGAACTGATGATAACTGATAAGAGAAGATAAAGGACCTAAGGGTGCCACCTACCGACTGAAATCCTAACATCTTCGGTATCTACGACGTAGCTTTGACTGTTCAGTATGTTTCATTCGGTAGGACGAGATGGTAGGGCAGGGTAACAAAAGTGAGTGGTAAGTGCAGTGTTAGGGACCCATTAGGGCAGTATGATGAGCAGATTAGAACTTTGTTCATTTCTTACTATTAGATTACGGCCACTACCCAGCAAGGTTTGTGATTCAATGAAGGATACTCTTTGCCCGATGTCATTTGCTACAAAGCCTATTCGACCGCCTGTAATCTGGAATTCTCAACTAATGATATCTCCGTGAAGAAAAGGGTCCATTGATAAAGAATATCTGATAGCGGTGCTATCATCGCTAAGAACATCTCCACAGCATTATCTTTGGTTGTGTAACAGTTGGATTTTTGATAGGTATTTCTTTTTAATGAAGGGAGCAAGAGATCGGAAATTCCAATTAAAGGCGTAAGCACCGACTTCCACTGTATACCATTTGCACTGCCCTGTTAGTCCTGTGTCGAATTTCGTGTACAGGAAACTACTATTAGTTTCAAAGAGAGGAGTGGGGAGTTAGCTTCACTCACTACAACTTTGTCAAAAGGAGGGAAGCCCGGCGTTAGCTAGGCGAACTGACTATGTGATATGCTACGACGACATAATCCATTTCGAGCTCTGTTTCAGTTTCATACTCTCACTCAGCTAAACAGCGGAAAAAAACGTAAATTCTTTAAACTTTGAAAAAGGGGGAAAAATTCTTCAGTTCAACATTTCTCGGGATAGGGTGTTTGACACAAGAAGGAGGAGAGCCTGGCGTTAGCCGGGCGATCCGACTGTATAAAGTAGGATGTTATATGCTTTCTCCCTCCGACAAGATATCTGAGACATATGAAACCCACAGAAGTCAGAAAAAGGTGTGAGTTCGCTAGCTATGGCTAGACAGTCGTCCTTCCTTTTTACTTTCTTGCTTATATTCTGCTGCGAGAGCCCCTCACTTCTTCGCAAAAGACACTTGAAGCTTTCTTCATCAGCGTATGTTCCTCGTAAAGGAATAGTAAAGACGAGTGCCTCGCCATAGCTAGCGAACTCACACCTTTTGCTGACCTCTTTCCATTCGAAGCGTCGTTTATGATGTGACGAGTTTTTCAAATCAGCCCTCCTGTCAACGTGGGTCTGACCCTGGCACCGGCCATCCCTACCACAGGTCCTTCGTTATACAGTGGATCAGAAAGGCTTCACCATCACAGACTTACGACTGTGAGCACTTGTTAGCTCCTACAAATTGTTATCAGTTCTGTCAACCCTCTTCAGTCCTTTTACTTCCTCTCTTCCTACCAAAATATCATAGGTCCCATTGCTAACCTAAAGAAGGTTGCGGGTCTCGAGCTTTTGCCTTTCAGGGCTGCTTATCGATCCCTAAATTAGATGTCTGCCCTGTCACCCGCCATCAGTTTTTGCCTCGCCTGTTCGACTCCCAAATTTGTAGGCTAAAGCACCACAGCTCCACGAAACAAGAGTTGTGAATTTCCGATTATACCACTAGCAAATCAACAGACAAATCTGAAGAATTAGGATTTGTAGTAGGCTTAGGCATAGTATGATAAGATGAAATTTATTTTCGAGAAATGCGTGTGAGAGACTCCGGATGCTCTTTTCCGCTCGGTACTTCTGCGCTAAGTGTTTCCGTAAACTTCGGCAGACGAGTGATTTTCAACATACGACCACTCAGAACCACAGCTAATTAATACTTTTCTTGCATCTGCTAAAAACACCTAAAGAAAGCAGAGAATACATTTGTCTCCAAGCTTTTCTTGCTCTGTCAGAGATATTGAATTGACTTGAATTATTTCACTGCACCTATATTCAAAGTGCGGATGTTTTTTACTTCTATGATTATCTCCTAGTATAATCGTATTTATTGACTTCAATTTGTATAACCGTATTTATTGACTTAAATTTGACAACTTGAATGCTCGCGTGTTTCACTTTGCAAGACTTCCTTGGTTCGTTTCAGATTTGGATGGTTTTGCAAGACTTTCTTGGTTCGTTTCAGATCTGGATGGTTTTATCGACTGACTTTTCTGGAATTATAAATTTGATCTAAAAAAGGAGATGAAAATGTAAATTTGGGTGTTCTTACAACATAAGCACTTTCTTTGCTTCCACGTTGTTTTTTCTTCGAAACTGATTTTACAATGACAATTACTAGTATTATCAACCCAGCGACGAGAAAGAGAATGACGAAAGACACTCCTGAAATGTGAATTATTATGTTCACATTTTGCTGTTTGTACAGCCAGTGTTTGAACATCAACAGTTGAACAGTGAAGATCTGGTAAGGTCCCAGGAAATTTCATATCAGTAAACATCCAACATTTCTACTTTGCTGATGCTCAACTATTGTCCCCTCGTCTTTCGACACTGGGTACAATGTCTTGAAATCGAAGTTCGCCAGGCAATTTGGAATAAGTACAACAAGTTTCTCTTATATCACTTTGTGCCGGTGGCCCAGTACAAACAGACTAGTCGCCAGGGCATAGTACAGCCGTTATCTAGCATTTCTTGTCCTCCAGCAAGCATCTTTCCGCACATAAGAACTGAGCTTTTTGCATTGCATACATACACATAATCCGGACCCTGCACGCGGTTGGAGGGGAATGAGTAGAATGGACGTTGTCCTCACCACTCACACATTACGAGGTGAGGCAGTAGCATTCCTGACAAATGAAACTGCGTTAAGGTGTTTAGGGCCTTGGGCGGCACTAATTGAGTCATTTATCCAACGATATTCCTGTTCAAATACATTCCACAATACGAGGAAAAAATGAACGACCGTTATCGATGGTCAAGTCTATCATCATCCTTGGTAGGTGAGATGGATCCCGAGTTGGACGGGGCTCAAATCAAAAACCTAAATCCTGCTCCAAATTATGATCGAGTCAGTGAAAGAGTAAGTGAGGGCTTGTAACCGGAGAAAAAGCCATAACAGTGCGCCAAATGTTTCTTGACCTAGAATATACATATAATTTTTTTACCTAATTCTTGGATAGGAAGGCTGAGGTAAGTGAGCCACCAGCTTTTTGCTCGTGGCAATCATCTCACCCAACCTGGTGCTCCCCACTTTCTGAGGCTAGGTGAAAATTATATCCTTCCATATCGTCTCTAAGCATACGTAGGGTCAGTCGGGTTGGAGGCTAGGTGAAAATTATGTCCTTCCATATCGTCTCTAAGCATACGTAGGGTCAGTCGGGTTAGATAATAGGGACGATAACCTCTTCATCCCCCCACCCCCCCTAGCTCAATAGTTATAGTAAAAAACGGATATTATGACAAAGTCAAAAGGTCCATATTGATCACTCAATAACAATAATTCCAATTGTTCTGTAACTTACTGAGTGTTCGTTGCCCTACTCCCATTAGAGCGTTAAGGTTTACGTTCAGAGGTGTTTTGGATATGCATGGTAGCTGAACGTTAACCTAGCCGCACTAGGTCGAGCTTGAATTGAAACTCGAAATACTACTGTACACTCGAATACCGGCTCTGAATATTGTGTATGAACTATGGCTCCTGTAAAAGAACTCTTATTCTTTCAAGCTATCATGAGTCCTGGTCAGTGAACGGGGGTGGCAAGGTAGCCACGGCTTTCAGAGTTAATTAGTTGAACAGATAGGGAAACAAACAAACGCAGTTATTCACCAAGAACAGTTCGTGATCATTGTGCGCTTAGAACAACTTATGATATTACAGCTTCGTGATAAGGGTGAGTAAACAGTTTGCGACATCCCAGCAAATAAATGCACCCAAAAAAGGGAACTCGATTTATATGCTTGTCGATGAAGGCTGCCCTTCTGAGTGCAGGGGCTTCGTTTGGCTGTTGAGGTTTAACTGTTTCGGGTAGCGTCACGAGAAATCCATTACGCATACGCAGCCGAGCTGGCTATAAACAATGGAGGGCCGGAAATGCGGAATGCGGGAACGGGAAGGGGAATGCGTCCGAGGATGCACGCGTCAAATTGCCCTGCAAGTTCGGGGCGATTTGTATGCCTCAACACCTATCATTGGGGTCCAATTTTGAAGTTGAGTAGATTAGTAGGATCGGCTAACCCTAATTAACTGCTGTACTTCAAGTTTGTGCCCCGATAATAGACGCCAGGGTTGTTCGAATCGCCACGAACTTCACCGCGCAACTCGCCGCGCGCATCCTCGGACGCACGTACCCTGAACGTACCCTGAACCACGTACCACGTATGTACCCGTACCCTGAACAATGCCTAGCTCACAGATCCTGATTTCCAGAATCCTAGGGCTAATGAAACGGATTGTATGTGTGCATCTGGAGAGCTAGGCATTGTTTTGAAAATCAAAAACTGCATTGAGACAGTTTTCTCTAAACAGGGCAAGTTAACAATTTCTAACAGCACTATGTGGACACAACCCGTCTTTCACAGTATCAAATAACTACGTCAATGCTGCCATGCTGGATGCTTCACTAGATCGCTATGAAAAATCGTAAAGTGAAGGTGAAAAATCGTATTGTAAACCGTCTGGTGCATGAGCAGTCTAAACAAATCTCTATTTGTTGCGACCATATCAGTTTTGCCCTGAAGCAATCAAGCCCAATTTTGCATCCCGAGACTCAAAAACAACATCAAGAAACTGTTCAAACTGACCTACTATTACTATGATGCGGTTGGTAAGGCTGGGTTGACCAGTTCTTTCCTTCTCGAAATTGCTTTTCTTTAATGACATGATATTCTTCTCAGAAGAACTATCCTTCTCAGGAAAAATACTCGGCATCTGATCCGTATCCTCATTAGTTGTAGTTCCCTCCCTTTCTACATACTTCGTAGTTGTTGAAATCGATTCTTCCAAAAGATCTTCTGTATTTTCTGGGGCTTCTTCGTCTGATGTATGCTCCGTCGCTTCAGTTAGAACCTCACTAGTTTCTGTTGTTGCATCCGTTCTTCTCATATCATCGTTTTTTGTTAAAAACTTTACCGACCCATCTGTCACAGATATGAGCCGATTTTTTACGTCCACGGGAACATCCTCCTCCTTCTCCGTCTTAATAACTACATCGCCACGAATTTTCCTGATGGAATAAAGTCCCCTCATACCGAAATTGAGGTTATCGAAGACATGCAGGCTGGCATCTAAAACATTACAAAAGTATTATATTATCGTAAAAGAGAGTCGAAAAATTCATAACCTTTGCTGGCCCGATACACAAGGTTTCCCTAATTCTTTACGTAGGGCCTATCCGCCACGCTACCTTTATTTCGGAAATTTCTGTTAATCTAAGGATAGTGTATTAATCTAATTAGGATTTCGTGTTCGATTTACTTTTTACTTATTTCTCTTGATTAGCTTGAGATTGTATTGTGGTGTCACGCTATGTGATGTCTTTCGCCATTTTGTCCGTTGTACAAGCCGGAGTGAAATTAGAGTTTTGATGGACAAGAAAAGGCAAAGAATTGTTTTCGGTAACGATTTTTTCGTGTAGATTTCGTTGATATAAGTGACTGCAGCCCTTTCATGATTGAGGCAGTGGTTGAGAAATGCCCTCGTCCTTGTCCATTCCAGCGAACAAAAGATTTTTCTCTTTATAACCTCTATTTCAGAATTGCATATTTGTGTATTCTGCATATATGAGCTGAATACGTGTTGACTGAGAGATTATTGTGATGGCCAAATTGCAGAGCAGGATGGAACGACTGTGAAAGACACATACCTAACGCTGATAGAGTGCGTTGCTATTCTGAAACTCTACATAGCACCAGAGCAGCTCTACATATTCTAAAATTATCTGGGTAGGTGCAGTTTCGTCTTGGGATGCCGCACGCTTGAATTTTTACATGAAGTGTAGTCATATCGAGTTGCTTCATTCAGCAGACATCATCGTTTAACAATCTATTTGTGAGGGCACATACAGCAATCAGTCACATGCGCCGAAAACTTCAAAATTTTTGAGCATAAATCAACGTCAATACACCGTTACCCCACAGATTTTTTCAGTTCCTTCCACTTCTATCGTGACTCCTACAACGTAGATGTCAACGCGAGTGCTTACTAAATTTTTTGAAAGTCTCTTAGTGAGATAAGCTATTCAAAATAGATTATCATCGGAAGACGAAAGTTGTCTTGAACAGCCAGGTAAAAGCCAATTTCGAACACCGGGAGCTGTGACCCAGGAAGGAATCGTAAGCGGTAGACGCATGCACCAACAGAATTTTTACTCCGATAGAATGGGAAACTTCGTACGCTACTTGTGGTCATGTGTTGACTGGAAAATTCCAAAATTCGTGGTGTAGCAAGATTTGATTGAAAAATCACTCTTTTGTTTTGTTTTGTTGAGTCATCACTGGCGATGAAGAGTAAATGTCCTGAGGCAACATAAAATGAATGTCGGTGACTTCACCTTGCCTCAGCACATTTACAACTCATCTTAAGTGGTCTAGAAAAAAATCTGCCTTGAATTTCGCAATAGTCAATATTTGAATGAGTCAAAGGTAGCAATCATTAATTCTGCGTATAACGCGTTACGCGTAATCGACCTAAACTTGAAAGATGTTTGTCATTCCAAAAACGATTTAAGTTAGCGAGGTCAATGTAGAATCTCTGAATTCCAATAGAATGATTAAAGGGATAGGCTTCTATTCTATCTCCTGGTAGTGGATTTTTCTACTTCAATGTATTTATGCAATCATTTTTGCATACTGTGTATGTAATATTTGATTCGGGGAAGTTGGTGTAGTGGCAATATCACACACTATCACACACGCATGGTCACGAGGCTCGAATACCAGGTGTTCGCCCAAGCCAACCAAGTCTTCCATTCCTTCGGGGTTAATAGTTGGTACCAGGCTCTTCTGGGAGGATATAGGCACGGATTTGTATTAGGTTGATCGAAAAGTCTTGATAGGGTCAGAACGTGTTTCTGTTTTATTTTACAACTCAGTAAACAATGCAAGCTAATCAATAATATAATAACCATCGTTTGTTATGACATTGTACCACATTGTACCGCCTAACAGGCAGGTCAACGAATCTCTTTTCTCAGATCTGGGAAGGGGAGTCAAAGAAGTCACCGACCACTTGTTCAAGATAGTCGTGTTTGGCGTATGGTTTTTTTTTTGCTAAGGAGCCTCTAGGAGAAGGAACAAGTGGTAATTTGAGGGAGCAGTATCAGGTGAGTAAGGTGGATGTGAAACCTTGTCCCAGCCTAGCTCCTCCATCTTGCACGACCATCCTTGAGCATTCCTTTTGAAACCCAACAGCAGCAAGGGAAAGAATACTTGAGGTGGAAGCCAGATTTGGCTTGCGTCGGCGGCTGTTCTCCTCACGGAAGTCAGAAGGCGCGTCCAGTAACTAGGTTCTCCAGAAACTCCTTGCAATATGGGCCAGGAAGAAAGGACTGACGAATGAATACCCGAGTGTACCGTGTGCTATCGGTAAAGACATTGGGTATCATTGAGTCAGCACCGTTCTGTAACCAAAGGTCTGAAGGCGACCGACGACTGTTGATTGGGCCCATACAAGTCTCGTTGCAAGGCTGCAGGTTTTAACTTCCGGATCTTACTCGACGGCGCCGAGAATATCGGAGTCGTCAACGGCGAGGAGGCGTCTAGAACGGAGCTTGTCTTCGGAACCCGTGTCTACTTCCTTCTAGCGAGCGAACCAGCGATAGACGGTAGCGATGGAAGTGGTGTGTTCCCTCAATGCGCTAATGATGTTGACATCATGTTTGAACTCAGGTAGGCGTACGGCCCCCTATATGCCATTTGTGGGGAAACTCCTAAAATGTTCTACAATGATCACGTGATAGATCATGGATGTAGGTCACAACTCGAAAATCCCACACTTTCCATAGAACTATATCAAGACTTTTCAATCAACCTAACATATCGGTTGGTCACCTAAAGTCATTGTGTAAGACACATATGTAATCAATACGCCGAAATGACTATGATTGGAAGCCGGACACGGAGCTCATCCCTCAGACGGATTGACCAACGCCCACAGACTTTATTGCTTTATCCTTCAGGTATGTAGTCTTACCTCCATGGTGATTACCGTCAATCTCCTCCATATTTGAGAGAAAAGATAGGTCTCTGATTGCAACATTGTCTTTCACCACAACGCGTCCTCTGACCTTTTTGACTTGCCGTAGATTGTCCAGACCTTTCGGTTCTCCTGAAGAAAAAAATTGAGTCCCCCGAAAATTTCCCTGTAATGCGATTCGAGTCAGGACAAGCGAACTACTTCTTTCCGTCATCTCCACAACCTGTTCCAGTCTCCCTTAGGTTTTGGCTGATTCCATTTCTCAGGCGATTCCTTTTGAGCGTGAAGTTTAACAATTTCCCTTCTTCTCGAATCTCATTTTGACTCAAAAGCATCACATCTCTTATTGGTTAGACTATGCCTATAGAAAAACGCAGATGTATTCAGCGGTGAATGGACTAGTAATTCACGTTTGAGTGGGATAAACTCCCCATTATACTCCATCAGTTATTGGCTGAATAATAGCATGTGAACTCTGACGTTGATTCACTCGTTAGCAGCCTGATGAACATCGACTTTTTGAATTCTTCTTGCATTGAATTCACATCGATATAATTTCGTTCTCTCCAAGGTGTTGCATTATTCTCTTCAAAGATAGTTAGTTGTCCGGACACTTGTGGAAGGGTAGTCATTCCCTTACCACCCAAAATGGCTCCCCTTCATCTCATCGGAGTAAATGAACCTAAAATTTTAGTATATTCCACTTCGTCGTTGTTACAGTGACGTTGACTTCTTGCAGCTCCTTCCCGGAAATCGTGTGATCGCCTTTTCTAGGATTCGAACTCCATTGCCTTACTTATCAGCTAATCCGTTGCTCTTCTCAGGCATGCCCATACTATCGTAGGCGTTGTTCTCTTATCTTTGAAGCATTCGCCTTACCATCCTAACATTTTGTTTCTAACCCATTTCAGAGGCGTCCAACTCATTTGCATCACATCCTAATTTTTGCTGTGGGAAGTTGCCTCTCGTGATTCCTTCCTATAGAACACGTTCGCTGCTGTGCAACATCGTAGGCCTCACCTCTGTCCTGTATGACTTCCTATCAAACCTTCTAGAGCACAGTAGGTCGGAAAGAGTACTACTGGATCTTTAGATTTCATTCAATGCCACGGTCTCGCAGCGTGGTTCCCACTACCCTCAGCAGCCATATCACTCCTGATATCGAATGTTCTGCACTTTTCCGATATTTTCTCTCAGACAATCTACGATTGGCTGCACGCACTGCTCGGAACTCAAAGACGTTCACCCCATTTTCCGTCAGCACTATCCACCATTTTCTGCCCACGCTCAATTTCATCGTTTCCTGCGTCGTTTCCATTACTATTGAAGGATGACTTTCATGGCATTGTTCTAGGTCTGCTGGATCGACCCTTCGGGATCTTGNTGTCCAGCATTTAGTACCTTCTGCCTTATATGTACTTTTTCGGCTCCTTGCACATGTACTTGATGCACTCCTCTCAAGCCTAAGGTTCTCAAGTGTGTCTGATATCTTTGTGCGAGTCTACAATCGTAATAATCAGCTTGCTGCCTTTATGTCAGGACCACGTCGTTCTTTGGTCGTTGCCTCCTGGCAGTAGCGTGGTTATACTGGACTTTATTTACCTCATGTTCAATACTGTTTTTTCCACGCTATATGTTGTGCAAACAGAAATGCTGACAACAAAAGTGCAATCAGAATGAATAAATGCTGAGGTTAGAATAAAGCTTAACTAACTCCTGAATCCTCGGATAAACAGATTGCCAGTAATGACATTGCAGAATCTGTCAAGTTCCCGGAGGAACCGTGCGTCGACCATCCCTCCTCTGCACTGTCGCGCTAAAAAGCTCAAATCAAATAGTTACCAACGTAATTTGTTCTCTTACAATTAGTTGGATCTTTCTTTCAGGAAGAAGTTAGCGAAGTGGCAAAATACTCGTCTCTGAAGCTAACTCTTGCGTCACTCTTGACTTGATATACCACTGCTATTGAAGGGTATCAAGCTAGTTTTGGAGCAGCCGCTATCCAAAACCATTACAGGGTTCGCCAAAATTGTGATGACCCATCACAGCGCGAGTAGCACTTAAATCCTTCCAACTATCATTTTCATTCGGTTTTTTTCCTTTCTTTAAAAACTTACATAGATTACATTATTTCTTTCCTAGTGATGCTGATGTTTGCCAGATTCTGTTAATAATGGTAGCACCGAGAATCAATCATTTATGCAATTGCAGGTGCTTTTGGCTTGGGCTAGGTATCTCATCGTAACAGGACTGCTAGTTTATCCAGTTCTCAGACCCTCTGGAGAGCTGGGAACATCTGAAGATCGGAGGAATAAAGCTAAGAAGAGTATTGAGAAGGTTACGTTCAGGAGTGTGAAGACAACAGGGCCAAGGACTGCATAGCAATGAAACTCACTCTGCGTGGAAATTGGCTGAAGGAGTGGACCTCTACGCAAAATCAAGGAGGATTAACCGCACAGCAAGGAGTTGATACAATCAGTAAGTTGTTTTTTTTTNTTTTTTTTTGGATATCTGCTACAGAGAAGAGAAAGTTTGGCTCACAGCAGCTACTACACTGTCGTCGAAGAAATCGTCATAGGGTATCATTCGGGTTATCCGATGAAAAGATATACAAGAAGAAAGAAATAATATCCTCAAAGAGGAATGGAAAGCTTGCTCAGTAAGCAGAACGACAGGATTTATGCGAAGTTTAGGAGGAGGAAGTGATACAACTCTCACTACTTCAATGATTTTTGCGGGCATCACAGCCAAGGCAAAGAAACCTCTGATCTTTGAACTTAAAGAGTCAATGTTAATGCGAAGAGTTATTTGATTTTGCCTTTCCTTGCCTTGTATAGTCACGAGAATGCTTCATAAAAAGGAGGTACAACACGTTGATCCCATCTTCTTGTCACCATCGACGCCTTCTATCTTCTCTCCCTACTCGAGTGGGAGCAGAAGACAACAGATCTTGTTACTAGTTCCAAGGAATCTCGTAATATGAGATTAGCGACATACATTTTTTTGAAATTGGTCTGTTATCTGTATCATCATAATTTTGATCGCCGCTGCGAAGGGCACCCAAAAGTTCCTGCTGTGACCCCACTTCACTAACAATAAGATTTCTCTCAATGTACATACGTATGGTGTGTTAATAGTTATTAAAATGTGTGTTTATAGTGAACGAAAATAAAAGAAGTTAAGGAAGAGGGTCAAACTTTGGTGAGCAGAAAATTTACACCCTCCGTAGTCACGAAGAAACATTGGCGGTAATGCAGTAGCACCAAGAATATCTTACTTGGCTACCACTAAACAATCGAATGTTTTTGGAGCGGCGGCAGACCTGGCACCAACCCACCTATGCTCACTGTTCAAAATATGGACTGCAATGGTGATAATGACAACGAACTTTGAGCGGAACTTGTTTTACTGAAGATCAAAACTAAACGTCGCTAACCTGAAAATTGAGCACCGCCATCGCATACACCTTTGATGTGTTCCCTAACGTCAACAGAAACGTCTTCCATTGTCTCAGTTACAATGAGTGCTTTGCCTCTGATTTTCTTGATTGCGTCCAAACCCCTCAGAACAAAATCACGGTTATCGATCACTTCCAAGCTGTGGACTGCAATAGTGATAATGATAACGAACGTCGAGCGAAACTCCTTCTAATTTGGGGTGATCACTGTAATATGGTTGTTTAATTGTGTTTTCGTGCAGTTCCCGACCAACTGAGCTATTTAATCACGAGAAAGCGCGCCTCTCAACAAAACGCATCGACCAGAGATGAATTTTTTGATCTGAGCTCTACCCTTCGAGTATCCTGCTATAGGCTGTGGTGGATTTGAGCAGTTTGGCGACGTCCTGCTAGCCGCGAGTGAGTCCACTCCGTCTGATTCATAGACCTCTTCCTACCCTATGTCCAATTTCGGGCACCTAAAATTTTTGGAGCAAAATTATAAACCTTTCTTCAATTCGGTGAACGCTCTGTCTCTGGAAGCCGGAGTGCCTCGGAGCTCACATGAGCTCTGTTGATCGTGGCTGTAGTTCCAGTCATCCCGAAGTTTATCAGAACTCTTTAGATAGCACCCGATTTCGGGACAGATAGGATGACGAAAATGGAGTTTTTATGTATAGCGAAAGAGTAATAATGATTTCATAGGTAAGTAAGTAATGATGATAACTCCATATATAGGATGATCCTTAAAGGCACTGTTAACGACTAAATGGTTTCGAAGATATGCACATGGTTAGAATTCTGAGCCCCCTCTGATAACATTTGTGCAGGAATTAGGTCGGAAAACGGCTGGATAGGGCACAATAAGGCCAGGAACAGTGGGGGATGCGATGCCTCCGCCCCTCGTTAGGCTGACTACGTGTTCAAATTGTCATTCACCACGTTCGCACTGGAGCGAAGCTGGTGAAAAATCGATACGCAGATTGGCAAATAGCCAGGAATGATCAGCTGGTCGACTGCCTCGTACAGGAGCTAGTATTCAACTGTTATTTCTATTTTATGTTTGTATTTCTATTGTTTTTTTTTTGTTATGAATTTTTTACGGTAGCATTCTTTAACTATTCTCGTAAATTTATTGAAGATTTTAACATATTTTGTGTAGATTATTGCATGCAAATGTTTTTTATTTAAGAAACTCCGTTAAATTCGATGTGTTGTCTGTATTGCAGACACTGCGTCGCCTTCGTGCATTCTCGCTCGAACACTCCCTAACCGCCGTTTTCCAATGTGAAAGATGTCCAACCCCACTATCTAGCACTTTTTTTGTCCCTTTGTAATACTTTTTGTTGCTCGTTTTTTTTGCGCTTTTTCGTTGTTATCGCTTTATTCTGAAGTAGTTCTACCTATTACCGTCAAAAAAGGGTACCCTTACTTTTTTACTAACAGTGCCTTTAAATATTGAGGGCGTCTACGTAAAGGGTTAGGGATTTTTGATCCTAACTTCGCCCGCCTCAGTACAAATTCCGACTGTTTCGATCAGATTACTTCTACGGCCTCTCTCCACTTTTTTAGCGTTGTAGTGCGTTTATGAGCAGAGGTAAAAATTCGTGATCTCCGCCCACCCCAGTGCAAACGCCACTTATCGCCCATTTGGAGTATTCGACTATACCCCTTCTGTAGTCACTGGTGCTTTTTTTTCCCGTGATCCAGAATGTTTCTTCACAGGTTTATAAAATTTTGATCTTGACCCGCCCACCTAGGCGGAGGCTTCGTTCACTTGCGACGATTCTGCAACACTTTTTATCTAGCCTCTATCTAGCCTTTATCTAACCGTTTTTACCGCACCCTATAACGTTTTCAAACAGAGTTTTAATTTCCTCCTGAAAAATACCCCACATTTAAAGTCCTCACTCTTCACGACCCCGCTACCCTGGGGTATTCCGTTACAAAAAAGAGTGTCCTAAACCTCGAGGGTAGATTATATGGAATCGATCTATCCTTCCACGTCGCTCTCCACGTCGCAACTTTGTACTCTTTCGAGCGATTTTCTGAGGTGGTCTAGGTCTATTTTCGATTGACCCTCCCAAGCCTCAAACATGAGGAACTCGGTCTTATTCAGAGATCACCTCACCAGCACCTTGGACTCATACGGCTTCTCCATTTCTTCTCTACCGTGAGAAGAATACACTCATCCTAACAAATGGTTTCTGATGGTTTAGGATACCTTTTGTGATCCTTGTGGCACTGAACACCAGAGATGTTGGCGGTAAGGGCGCTTATGGCGATCTTGGACTTACTGTTCATATATATGATCAGAGAGATCTGTTTTTCTGGGGAATTCTTCCCGACCTATGTAGGCAGTGAAATGTCTCCTCTTGATCTAAGAGGCTAGGTAGTACGCTTCGCTGTTTTCTGCTCCATCTTTTGTTGTGGATATAGCAAGCATTGTAAACTTCGGAGCACGAACTCTAAATGTTCCTGTGTGGCTGGGAGAATTCTCCTCAAAATTTGAGCCGACTAGCCACCTGTACAGTTTCGTAGTATGAGCAGTCAGGTTGAACCTTCAGCTCGAATATGGGAACGACAGCGCTGCTTACCTACTGCTTCTCTGTGACTTCACGACTTCTATAGATTTCTACGTCCACATTGTTCAAGAAACGCGTATGCTCCTAACCCCGGGCTTTATGAACGGAACCACACGTTGCATTTAATATGGAGTCGTTTTTATGGCACAATTTTTCGTTTAGGAGTCCATTAAAGTATTCCAACTACCTGCTTCTAACCTAAACAGGGTTTTTTGAGATTCTGCTTCCTTATCTTTGCTGCACTCTCTACTCCTTTATCGAAAACCCGATACCTGGCTTTATCTAGAAGGAGTTTGGATTTTTCCGTTTCTTGACATTGAGTTTCTCAGAGCGTCTGTGTATGTCCGTATTCCTTGCCCAAGCTACAGTGATTTTGGCGAGCGTTTTATAACTACAGTAAGCAGCTTCGTCTTTCGAAGCTTCCGTCTTATGCCTTCGTCTTGTATTAATCTTTCTTTTGCTGCACAACTCGCTGGAACTATTCGCTTCGCAAACTCGCTTTCTTGCCTCCTCTGATTGTGAGCTCACCTTGAGCTTTTACCATGCACATCCTTAGACCTAGATTTTGTATCCTTCGATTGAGCTCTGCTCGGTGAAACCTCTAGCACCTATTTTCCGCTCCATACTTAATTCACTTTCTCGAACCCCCTATTCCTGGCTATGTTTGCTAGGGAGCACTATTCCTTGCGAATCCATTTTTTGCTAGGTAGTACCATTATATCATCTACGGTTCCGAGCAACGATCTTCTTATGATCAAGTGATCAATTTCATCCGCTACTCCGGGAGCGTATCGAGTACCTCTTTTAGCAACAAGGTGCTGCAGACTGCTAGGTTGCGGAACGCTGCTGAGTAAAAAAGTCCCTAACACCCTTCTCTCTACTTCCACGCTTCCATGACTGCTCCTATTCCTACTCGATCACTATTAAGGTGGCCATTCATATCAACCGGCAAGGCGGAATAGTTGTCGGAGCGTACATTACTATTACTGGCTATTAATGACCAGTCGTGTCTTGCCTCACACCCTTATGTGACCTCTGAAGCGGTAACCAAGTTTTCGAGAGTCTCCGTTACTGCTGTGATCTGTTCATTTCGTTATCCGTTGTAGAAAAGCAGGGAACATTCTCCATTCCTTCTGGCTTGCTCTCCTTTCCGGCATCTTTCTTCTGGGTATGGGTTTTAGTAGTCTCGCGTTTTATCAGGACTTTCTGGACAATCCACTGAGCGATCCGACGTCTGGAGTGACAAATAGCAGCACTTCTTTGGCAGAAGTCATTCACCCTCGACATATTTCACATACCATAAAACTCGGGGGACTTTTTTGCACCACACTTCCGAGTGTCGCATAAAATCAAGCTATCCAATAATAAAGTCTTTTATGGAAAAGCATATCTTCCTCGCTTGTACTCAACGGCGGTTATCCCACTCCTGTTCAGTCGTAGAGTCAAAGCTGTGGGTTGACCTGTGTAACGAGGGTGCCACAAGCAGGTTTGATGGATCATTTCAAACTGAAACGATTCAGTGGACTGGAAACTCAGGACTCAATTATCTTCTAGATAGTCGCCTACTAACATTTTGTAAATGTCAATTTTACAGTTCCTGAGTCATTAGATGAGAAAGCGATGGACCAATTCTAGATACAAAATATCATAAGTTCTACTTTAGTCGGCTACTCTCACTCTATGATCGTCTATATGACTACATATTGCGACCCTTTCAAGAAATTCGAAGAAAGAAGACATAGAGGAACTTGGATAATATGAATTTGATACAGCCCCCCCGACGGTCTACTACCTCAACGTGGTGGGAGGGTGGCGTTTAGGCTTGTAGGCGTGTCCGATTTTTAAAGTTTTGTTTA